TTGTAACTTAAATCTTTAATTGCCTCAGTACCAGGTCCCTCAGTTTGTGCTTTGAGCAGTTGAACCTTTAATAAGGCAATCTTTGCATCCTTGTTGCTCACTCGCACAGTCATCTCCTCCAATTCGTGCTTCAGTTGGTTTTGTTCCATTACCAACTAAAATATCTTGATTAGTGGTCTTGCCCTCCCTTCGATGCACTCATATTCGACCAAAGTATTCAGAGAGAAGGACTGTTTAGCAGTTCCAACAGTACCTAGTCCCACTGGTATGTTCAGATGTTTAAACACTTTGGTGAGAAAGTACCCGTAGCCCATGCCATGTTTGCCCTTTTGTGAAATTATAGTTTTATACATATGCTCCAACATTAAGGCTGAGAGATTGAAGGGTTCAAATTTGCACAGTGATTCCATCACAAACAGGTCAGTCGCAAATGCTACTTTGCATTTCTCAGTGCGAGGAAGAAGTACCTTATTAACAAAGTCGAACAGTAGTTGGTACTCTCCCTTCATGAGCTTCGTTTGAATACCCACCCAATGCATATCAGGAAGTTTGGAGCATTCCCTCACAAACTGCTTAATGCACGATTTTCCTACCACGGATCTGATCCTCTCTCTGGGTACCTCTAGTATTTTGCCCAGCAGTTCTTCATCAAAATGTAGACTTTTATCTCCGACCCTGGTGTTGAGGCTGCCATCTTCTGCAAACTCTACATTATAGTAGAACTCTCGAACTTGCTCTTCATGAAAAACGGGAAATTTGGTCATGAACAAGTGAGTCCATGATTGAATCTCCACAAGATCAAACACAGAGTCCATACCTGGCTTGGTAAGCATATAGTATCAAACACCCTCCCTCCTAGAACCTTTTACAGACGTAGATTATCAACAATTGTTTGTTTGCTTACTTCCTTGTCATCCTTATTTCGTTTTGTACCTGGTCCCTGTTCATAGTTTTGCTTGAGAACAGGGGAAATGTTTCTCTTCCTCTTAGATGGTTTCCTCTTCTTTAGTGAATCATTTCCTTTTCCTTTTGTAGGGTCAGCCTTCTTGACCATAGATGTTCAAGATTTCTCTTTGCCCATTTTCTTCAATTGTTTCCCTTTTCCCTTTTTAACAGCTGCCAAGGGAGAGTCTTCACCCACAGACTCATTTTCAGAAACTTTGATAGAGACATTCACCACATCATTAGTAGGCAACTCAAATACCACATCACCAGACCTTGTTCTTCTTCGATTCTCTGCTGTAGTTGTTTCATTTGACTTTATAGCAGCACCCATGATATTTTGGAAGATTGCTCTAGTAAAGGGCCTCCATTTTTTGGGTATTCTTTAGTGAACTTTTCTTTTCCCTTTGTGGGATCATTCTCCTTTGCAATGCCCACCTAGGAGGGATGCCATCCTCGTCAGTGTCACTTGAGTTAGTAAAAGGATGGAGACCAACCTCAGGTGTTTGATCGAAGACTGGTCCAGTATCTCCAAGCATTCCCTCTACAAAACTACCTCATTATTTATGTGCAAAACTACCTCCTACTTCATGTATCACTCCTTCCCTCATCTACGCCAAACTCTCGATAACTATGCTTTCACATGCTGCCAGAATGTTTGACCCTGACGACTTACTAAGTGGAAGGTCTCCATTGAACAAATGGTCAGATAACATAGCTAAAAAGGGACTAGGTTGATACGAGGGTGCAGGGTTGTTGATGTCTATGGGTGACTGAGGAGTAAGATGACTGCCTTCAGTAGTGTTGACACGAGGGATAGTCGATACTTTTGTAGAAAGGGGAGTAGAGGATGATGAATAGAATGTAACTGGATCTATCTCATTTGGGGAGTCCAGTGTTTTCTTCGACGAGGGAGGTGACTGAGACATGTTAGAGAGAGGAGGAGAGATAGTGTTGCAGAGAGAAAGATTAGGGTTTTTTTAAGGACTTTGAGAGAGAGGAGTTTGAAAAGTGAAGAGATGAAATGGAAAGAAGAGATATAAAAAGAAGATGAAACGGTGTGGCAGGTCCTTGAGTAGACACATCGCTTGGACTTGAAGCGATGGGACAACGGTCAGAGAACCGATGACTGACACGTGGAGATTTCAACGATTCTCATTTAACAGTTTCAGTGAAATGTTGAAAGTTCTAACCATTAGACAGGACCAGGTCCCTTTCTGCAGGTGAATTTTGATACCTAAATGGTTCTGACTATTGTTTGCTCTTGTGATATTCCATGAGTGTATACCTGTAGCAGGTACATATTTGCTCTCACTTAATCAAAGAATTACAAGTAATGAGGATACCTGCCCTTCTGATCATAGCCAAAGGAAGATTGGATGCCTTGGATAGGGTTAGCTCAGTACATGTTCATCATCCCCAATTTCAACCTATTACTCTCAAATTGATCCTTACTGAGGGTCTTTGTGAAAATGTCTGCAATTTGATCTTTAGTTATGCAGTATTGCATGCTGATGTTCCTCTTCTCAACATTGTCTCTGAAGAAGTGGTGCCTAACATCAATGTCATTTGTTCTCTTGTGCTGGACTGGATTCTTTCCCATGTTCACTGCACTGGTATTGTCACACATGAGAGGAATGGTATGAATGAGTACTCCAAAGTTCTCAAGTTGCTGCTTGATCCATAGTAATTGAGCACAACATGATGCCACATTTACATATTCAACTTCAGCCATGGAAAGAGCCACTGAATTTTGTTTCTTGGTTCCCCAAGAGATGAGTGAGGACCCCAGGAAATGTGCCATTCCGGAAGTGCTCTTTCTATCCACCTGATACCTTGCAAAATGAACATCTGCATACCATACCAAATCAAAGGACTTCCCTGCGGATAAAAGAGGTCCAGGTCCCCTGTTTTCTTTAGATACCTCAGAATTCGCTTGCTGCTTTCATATGCGACTCTGTGGGACATGCTTGAAACCTTGCACATACCTACACTATAGACAATGTCAAGTCTACTTGCTGTTAAGTACAACAATGATCCAATAATACCTCTGTACATGGTTTGATTCACCAAGGCATCAGACTCGCCTGCTCCCATCTTTGAGTTTGTACCCATGGGGGTGTCTATATGCTTAGATTCAACCATATGAAACTTCTTTAGCAACTCCTCTATGTACTTCTCTTGACAAATTGAGGTGCTGCTTGAGGTTTGCTTAGTCTGCTGTCCTAAGAAGAAATTCAACTCTCCCATCATGTTCATCTCAAACTCATTTCCCATCAAGGTAGCATATTCTTCACACAGAGATCCAGAGGTGGCTCAAAAGATGATATAATACACATACACTTGGATGATGAGCAATTCTTTTTCTCTATTCTTCAGAAACAAAGTGTTGTCTATCTTGCCCCTCTTCAATCCATTCTTCAGAAGAAATCTGGACAGTCGCTCATACCAAGTTCTAGGAGCTTGTTTCAATCCATACAGTGACTTGTTAAGTTTAAACATATGGTTTGGGTAGTCAACATCTTCAAAGCCAGGTGGCTTTTTCATATACACTTCTTCTTTTAGGTCTCCATTCAAGAAGGCACTTTTGACATCCATTTGGAAGAGCTTGAATCCCATGAAGGTTGCAAAGGCAATAAGGATTCTGATAGCCTCCATTCTAGCGACAGGGGCAAACGTTTCATCATAGTCGATGCATTCCTCTTGATTATAGCCCTGAACAACCAGTCTTGATTTATTCCTTGCGATAACTCCATTTTCATCAAGCTTGTTTTTGAACACCCATTTGGTCCATAGAATGGTTCAGTCAGCAGGTCTAGGAACCAAGTGCCACACTTTTGTCCGCTCAAACTGAAGGAGTTCCTCTTGCATGGAATTCCATCAGTTGATATGAATGCTGAGAATGCAACTAGATTTCTAGTCTTGGATCTAGTTTGTATTCCAGAATTCAATGGTGAAATTAAATTATCAAGATGATGAGATGACTGCTGGTTCTATCGTGATTTAGAGCTCAGGGGTTGAGGTTAATCTGACTGTTATTCTTTATCATCGGAATCATCATTCTCAGATTGAGGTAATTCCTCATGATCTGCATTGTTGGATGGACCAGGTCTCTCATAGGACTTTTTAGCTTCATTAACCCTCTCTGATTGATCAATGCCAGTGCCAATGTTGTTTTGGCTTCCTTCAATAGGTGAACCACTAATTTCATCTCACTAAATTTTAAACAGCTCCTGAAGATCATCATCACCCTTCAGTTCAAGATTTTTCAAATCACCACTTTCATAAAAAACATATGAACACTTTCTTCAATGCATAATGTTCTTTTTTTGAAGACTCAGTAAGCTTTGCTGGAAGATGAGTATCCTACGAACAAACCTTCATCACTTCTAGGATCAAACTTCCCATATCATCCCTGTCATTGTTTAGCGCAAAGCACTTGCAACCAAAAGCCCTCAAATAATTCAATTTTGGCCTTTCATTGTTGAGCAACTCATATGGTCTTTTTTTCAGTAGAGACCTGATCAAGCACCTGTTAGTCACATAGCAGGTAGTTTTAACTGCTTTTGCCCAAAAGATCTGAGGAAGATCAGAGTCTATGAGCATGGTTCTGGCAATATCAACCAGAGTTATGTTCTTCCTCTCAACAACCCTATATTTTTTAGGTGTTCTGAGAAGTTATGATGAATACCACAATCAGCACAAAAAGTGTTAAACTTTGCATTCTCAAATTCCGTTCCATGGTTGGACTTGATCCCTGCAATCTTGCTGTTAAGCTTTGTTTGAATCATTTTAAAGAATATCATCAGCACCTCAGCTATTTCACATTTTGATTTAAGGAACATAGTCCAAGTGAATCTTGAGTAGTCATCCACAATCACTAGGATGTACTTCTTTTCGCCTCTAGTTTGGATTTTCACACGCCCCCACAAATCCATGTGAATTAACTTAAGAGCTCTTGATGGGCTTACTTGATTCTTTGGTTTGAATGAGGATTTAGTTTGTTTTCCTTTGACGCATGCATTACACACTTTGTTGTCATTGAAATTTAGTTTTGGTCAGCCACGAACCAGGTCCCTAAAGAAAAGTTTGTTTAATAGAGATGAGCTCACATGACCTAGTCTCCTATGCCATAAGTTGGCATTTTCACTTTGAGCGTTGAGGTATGTCAGATCGTCTCCAAGAGCAGTATTCAGGTCTGCCACATACATATTTTTCTGCCTTCTAGCCGTCAGAATTACCTCCTTAGTCGACAAGCTAGTAACAATGCATTTGTCTGATAGAAACTTGACCTCATTTCCATTGTCACATATCTGGGAAATGCTAAGAAGACTGTTTTTTAACCCACTCACATAGTAGACATTTTTGATTGAGTGTTCAGGTGATTTCCCAATCCTATCAACTCCAAGAATATACCCCTTCTTTCCATCACCAAAAGAGACACCTCCACCTTGAAGTGCCTTGAGTGAAAGGAAGTTTTCATTCTTCCCAGTCATGTGCTTAGAGCATCCACTGCCCATAAACCAGCATTGACTGCTACTTCCTTCACTCTCCTGCAACAAAGATCATTTGTTAGACTTAGGAACCCATGGTAATCTGAGTTTCCTGTAAGCTGATAAGGGTGTAATAATAGTGATTCTTGTTCAATGAGGCATGTTAGTCCTTTTTCTCTTTGAGGACTTAGGAATGGGAGCAGGTCCCCTTTTTTGTGCTATTTTCTATCTAGAGTAGACTTAAATTTTTTCTTGTGAGGCTTTCCAGGCAGGGCAGTCCCCTTTCAAGTGACCATTGCGACCACAGTGAAGGCATAATAGATTATCTGACAAAGACACATATTTATTGTAGGGATTGTAGGGAGGACTAATGTTCAAGCTACCTAACCCCTTCCTGTTGTAGTTACTTTGGCCGGTGATGTTGGAAAGTAGCTTGGTGGAGCTGGTCCATGTTACAGAATTTTTCAGTTCTTCTCTAAGATGGACCACACCCTTCTCCATTTGATCACTCCTTTCCAAAGTTAGGGCAAGTTTGGTCTCAGCAGTGTTTAGACTAGTTTCTAGCTCTATTTGCAAGCTAGTGGCCTCCATTTTTTTTTGCCAGATTTCTCATTCATTATTCTCAATTGTTCCTTGAGTTCTAGCTTTTCAGTTTCTAGAACTGTCAATTGTTCCTCAATAACAAACATATGGACAGTCAAGACTGTCTTTTCTTTACTAAACTTATCTAGACTGTTGTTCATAGAGTCTTTTTCAGTCGTTAACTCTATAACAAAATCGATCAGGACATTAACTAGATTTCTCAACCTTCTAACATAATAAGTATTCAAGTTTTGTTTAAGGTCAAGGAGAGTTACCTTTTCTTCGTCTTCCTCGCCATCCAATTTTTCCATGAGGGCGAACAACCCATCAAACACATTTTTATCATCTTTAACATCCAACATGGATGCATCATCCGAGCATTCTGATTCTTCTAAATCACTTGAAGAATCACCCCAGACAGCAAAAGCTTTCTTCACAACATAGTCTGCTGCAAATTTTCTTGCATTCTTCTTGGGTACCAGGTTCGTCCTTTTATCTTTTTCACCTCCGGGTCTTTGATATACTCTTTGGTTTCACCTTTGAGCATCAGACATTCTGTTATGAAGTGTCCTGTCTTTCCACACTTGTGATATAACTCACTTGCATTGGCAACACGGGGAGGGTTCCCTCATTTTTGAAAACCTCCATGCTTCTCACAATTTTTTGAAATCTCTTGGTGAGATAAGCCATGTCTTTCTCTTCACTGGAGATGTCACCTGGTGAGATCTTGAGAGCTAGAGACTATCTTTCTTTACCTCATTCCTTGAAGTGTCTTGGTTTCTATTCATTTCATGAGTCTGAAGGTTACCAATTAGAGCATCCATCGTCAGAACCTTCAGGTCCTTTGCCTCAGTAATGGCATCCACTTTTCTTGCCAATGACTTGGGAAGGACTCGAAGAATCTTCATGACCTGCTTACTGGAATGAATAGGTTCTCCCAAACATCGTAGCTCGTTGGTTATGGAGGAGAATCTTGTATGCATGTCATGAATAGTTTCCCCCTCCTTCATTGTGAAGTTCTCATATTGGGTGGTCAGCATATCTACCTTTGATTCCTTCACCTGCTCTTTGCCTTCATGAGTTGTTTTCAAACAATCCCAGATTTTTTTTGCTGACTAACAAGCAGAGATGTGGTTGTATTCTTCAGCACCTATTCCACACACTAGCAACTTCTTAGCGTTGTAGTGTTTCTCGATCTTCTTTTTGTCCGCCTCGTTGTACTGTTGGCGAGTCTTTGGAACGATTTTTGTAATTTCACCATCTTTCACTTCGGTTGTTGGGATGAAGGGTCATCCAGCACAATATTCCGTAACTCGTTGTCTTCAGCCATTAAATAGTCATGCATCCTTGTTTTCCACCAGCTATAGAGCTGGCCATTGAAACGAGGTGGCCTTGTTGACGATTGTCCTTCTTCTACGTTCAGTGGAGCAGCCACCCTTTTACTTGAATCTCTCTCTTGGTGTTAACCAAATATAGAGCACCTTCTATGATACCAATTGATAGAATACATGCGTCCACTATCAGTCAACAGACCAGGTCCCTTGACTTAGCAAGAACAGTAATAAGGTGAAAGCAACAAACAAAGGACAACACAAATAGTTTATGTGGAAACCTCCTTGCTCAAGAGAGTAAAACCACAACCTGTCTCACAGGGTTTTCAACTCTTTTCACTAATCTTCTTCAAGAAAAAGTGAAACACAAATACAACACATATGAGATTAAGTTATTAATCTCAAAGCTAAGTAATAACTCTATTACTTCTGAGCATAAGAAAATACTACACTGCCAACTAAGCTATCATCCCTAGACAACTTAGAATTCAACTAAGCAGATACCACACTGCCCACTAAATCAACTAGCTCTTATATGACTTAGAATTTTCCGAAGCAGATACAACACTACCCACTAAATCAGTTAACTCTAATCAATTTAGACTTTTACAAACCAAACAAAAGATCTGAGTCCTTTATAGATTAGAAACAGATTTACAATGTAACCACACAAGTTATAATCCTAAGACAACTAGACAACTTTCAACACTATCAGGTCCTGTTGCTCTTGGGGATGATTCTTCTTGAAAGTAGGTCTTTGCAAGTGTTCTTGAGAATTTTCAAGTTGCAAAAACTAAGGTTGTATCTATTGGACATACCCTTTATGAATAATAGACACAACCTTCAAGGCCATGCCATTGGCCGAGGTTTCTACCACAGTTGGAGACTGTGCACCAACCAATTGTACTTTATACAGCCTGGTATTAGTGTGTACATTGACACAAGGATCAAGTCCCTTTACAAGGTCCCATGGTTTGTCAAATCATCAAAACTGCAAATAGCATATTCCTATGACTTGATTGATATCGTTTCGAGATGAAAAATAAAACTTTAGCTTTAGGTGATTCTGGAATCATGCCAGTTTTTGGGAATGTGGAGGTCTTGGTTTGATTTCATATTTGCGGTTGAAATTAGGTCTAACTGTGTAATACTTGTTTTGTTTTTAAATATTACTCTATTTCATCATGTATTTGCAGCCTGAAGTTCTTGCCCGACAATCTAGTAACTCCTCGTCTCTTCTTCCTATTAAGAAGAGCTTGTATCTTCGTGCACGTATCCATCATGAATACTCCTCTTTTTGATGAAAATGAATTCAAGACCGAAGATGTTGAGACCGAGGACAGTTGAATAACATATGTTTTATATCTTCAAGTCCAAAGTAGTAAGTACACTGATTTAACTTCATAGTTTTCTGTTGTTGGATGGTGCCATATCAACCAATCATTATAACCTGTATTAGAAATCGGGAGAGACAATATAGCATCGACATCTTCAGCTTCAAAAATCGTATTTAACTCTTGTATTTTTCATCTGTGAATATTTTTTGGTTTTTAAAAGGTTTGAATGGAAAATTAAGAGTTATGACTTTTATGAAGAGTTGTGACTTTTTCGAAGAGTTGTGACTTTTATGAAAATTTGCGACTCTTATGAAGTGTTGTGATTTTTCTAAAGAGTTGTGACTTTTCTGAAGAGATGTGAGTTTTTTGAAAAGTTGCGAGTTTTCCATAGAGTTGTGACCTTTATGATAAGACACAAGAAGCATTCACACTATTCTTTGTTGTCTATAAATAGAGGGGTTTTCTCTTATTTTTCAACAACGAATTTCTAGATTTCTGTTACTAAATCTAGTATTCTAAGTGTATTTTAGCGTCGTTGAGTGGTTCGCTGACATCGTGATTTTAGGTACCGATACACCAGTGAGTAAGATTGTTCTATCTTGGGAGGATATATTTTATTAACCTCGGGTACTTGAGGGGAATAATTTCCTTAAGGATATACTGTGCATTTAGTAGGATCGATTTTCTTCTTTGAGAAAAATATTTTGTATATTATTTTTGATTTGTTTCAAGTTCTATTTCTTTACTGCTTTTGAGTTTCTAGATTTGAAAATACTCTTTAAACTTTGTTGTTTCTTACCAAGTTCTCAAAATGCATATTTCTTTTGTCCTATATTTGTCCGCACCAGTAATTTGAAACGAGGGATGTAAATTCCTTATACTGACCATCACAGAGTTGGAAACAAGAAAAAGCCTACACAGGGATCGCTGCTAGTACATACTTAAGCACAATCTCTTTTCCCGCAATACTTGAAAAATTTCGGCTTCCATCCTTTTATTTTTGTCTTGACTCTCTCCTTTATAAACTGTAGCATCTTTTGTTGAAACGTCCCACAAAAGCCGGTAAACACATATACATAGCCATGCCTTTTATTTATCGTTGTCCAAGCAACAACGACACTCAACTTTCTCCTCCTCTCTCATATTTTTACTAAAACATATTGCTGATTTATCTAGATTAACCACTTTCCTAGAGCTTTGATCATATTTCATTAAAATATATGCTACATAACTTGCATTTTGATTGTTAGTTGCACAAAATATAAAGGATTCATCGACAAAAAATAAATGAATTATGCTTAATTAATTAATGTTCAATGATAAATTTGGTAAGAATATCTTTAAGATTTTCTACGAACCGTAACTAGGATGTGTATATAAGATAAGAAGAATTATCTGACATTATACTAAAAGGAAACATCAAACAAAATTCAGCAAGTAAAGTCTCTTCTCCCCATTTTGATGTCTATATATATTTCTGGGTGTGTGCGCTATTTAATTGTTCCTATTTTGGGTGTTTTTGATGTATTTTTCAGGTAAAGTTATATTTTTTATTCTTGAAATTTTGGATTTTTACCTTATATAGGATCTAAGGAGTGATAAATATTAGTTTTGTTGTTATTAGATATAGGATCTAAATATGTTCATTCAATAAATCAACTATGCGTCAATCCGAACCTAGTTGAATTTATCTGACATTATACTAAAAGGAAATATCAAACAAAATTCAACAAGTAAACTTTTTTCTCCCCTTTTTTGTCTATGTTTTTTTCACTCATTTTTTGCTCATTCAATACTCTTTTTTTCTGTTCAAGAACAATTCTCATTTGATTTATATATATATATATATATATATATATCTGTGTGTGTGTGTGTGTGTGCGCGCACACCATTTAATTGTTCCTTTTTATTTGGGGTGTTTTTTATATTTTGTTTCAAGTGAAGTTTTGTTTTTTGTTCTTGAATTTTTGGAATTTTACCTGATATACGATTTGATGAGTGATAAATATTGGTTTTGTTATTACCTGATATAGGATTTATATATGTTCAATCAATCAAACAACTATGTCTCAATCCGAACCTAGTTGAATTTACTGGTAATGTTAGGATTTTTCTGTCTATTTTGCAGAATTATGATGATTTTATCTGATTTTCCAGTAATTTTGATCAAGTGTTTTGAGGTTTGATACCTATTAGTTGTTAGTAATAAATTAGTTTGAGGTTGCAACTCATTAGCCATTGTGTTGTTGTAACACCCCGAAATACTAACCAAGAGTCACATGTCGATTTACCATTGCTTAATTACTACAATATGTTTTATTCTTGTTTTGGGAACTTGAAATTTTGTCATATTTGCAAACTTGCTTAACATAAATTGAGACAGTCATTTAAGGGATTGTGTTGGGGTATTTATGTAATATTCTAATTAGAATTATGTATAATATGAAAGGGAGGTGAGGGTTATACATATAGGTATATATGTATGCATTTTGGGCAGCCAGCCTCTTTTTTGGGCAGCCACCTTTTGGAGACAGCTGTTCATGTGATAAACATCACTCTTGATACTATATTTTGACACCTCCTCTAGTGAAATTCGTTTCCCCTGAAGTCTAAGAACCTTAGAACATTATCTAACCATTTGTTCTTCAAAATCATAAGAGAAAAACTTGGTCCTTTTGGCTGGAATTCGAGACACACCCTTCTCTTTGGTAAGTGATAAAATCTGTTTCTGAGCTGGGTAGTGTTTGGTATTTTATGCATATCTCGATCTCTAGGACTTCGTTTACAGTGAATACATATGATTTGGAAAGAGAATTTGTATACCTACAACTCTTATGTTTATGTAAAACTCTAATTTAGTTGTTATGGATTCAAAATATGGGACATAACATAGGACAAGTTCTGTCCAGATTTCAGAATTTGAAATCCTGTATGAACAACTGTTAGCGTTTCAAATATATCTTTTTTTACAGAATATATTTTGCGATGATTCTTGGTTATTTGCAACCTTAAGAGATGTACCAACATCTTTCATGAATGATATAAAGTCCAGTTTTGCCTTTTTCCTTTTCAAATCTAAGTTGCGACATGATGTACTAGACTGGACAGAATCACTGTTTTGGGAGCATAGTCGTATTTGTATAGGCAAAGCTTACTTGTAAGGATAATCCTGTTTTACATCAACATTATTGATCTACTAGGAATTAAAGAAGTTATTTAATTTTATCTTAAGGTTGTATATACTCGTGAAGAAGTTGAGGACCTTGATACGTTGGTTGGTCTACGATTTAAACTCTTGAAGTTGTGTTGTACTGTTTCTAAGCTAAACATTGACGTTTGTGTATAAACTTGTACTTGTACTCTTTTTACCTG